TGTGTGCCAAGACGCTGTCTGTCCTCTGTTCTGTGGCCTTGGTGGGTACAGGTCGGGGGTAGCCGTTCTGGGCCTCCCGCCCACCCGCCCTCCCCTGACTCCCAGTGTGGTGGACCCAGGCCCTCCTGTTCACTCAGAGCGCTCACCCAGGCCCTGCCGGTCCAGTGAGTGTGGGGTTCCCACACACACCCCAGCTCCTCAGTGTGCCCTTCTTGAGCCTGTGGTGACTCAGGTTAACAGCTTGTCCGCGGTGCCAGCACCGAGCGCAGCACCGACTCCGGCCTGGCTGTTTCCACCCCCAAATCTGGGGCTGGATGGGGTTGGGGGTCCATTGTTCACATGGTCTCTACGGATTATTGCCGGAGTCGCTTTTCCAACGCAGAGGCTTGTTTCTCAGCCACTCTGCGTCCCCACGACCTCCTTCCTTTGATTGAGCCTTAAGGGTTCAGACAGCTGGGGCCCAGTCTTCCAGTCCCCACTGGCCCCACCTATAGTCCCTCTGTGCCCTCACTGTCCCCACATGTCCTTGGCCTGCAGGCTCCCTGGATCCCACAGCCAAGCTGCTTCCTGTGCTCAGCACCTCCCTCCCCAGCCCCAGGCTCCAAGCATTGCAGAGCGTGTGTAGGCGGCTGCTGGTTCAGGCCCCTGGTGTCCCTTGCCTGAGCTGGCCGGTGCCCTCCTAGGCCCTTGCCCCTGTCTGGAGTGTGCTCTCCTGGCTGGGTTGCTGGTTGTCGTAGCTATCTTATGTGGGACTGGCCTGGTGCAGCAGCCTGGCCCCTCACCTCGGAGGGGAAGCTCACAGAGTGAGTCCCTGCCAGGGCTGACCACTGGCACCAGAGTTGTCCTCGTCACCCGCTAGGACACCTACCTGTGCTGCTCTGTACCAGTAGCAGGAGCAGAGGGAGGACCTGGTTCGGAGTCTCTCAAAGACTGGGCCTTCCTCCCACTGGGGCTGGGCGGCAGGGCGGGGGCTGTGTGTGAATCCACTGTCACTCCATCCCACTCCCTCCCCAACTGACCCCTCATTGTCTCCCCACTGTTTCATTGTAGACTGAGGGCCCCCCTGCTGGGGAGGAGCCGGCCAGCCCTGAGGCAACGCACGAAGCTGGCACCCCTACTTTGGCCAGTGGCCTCAGTGGCTACCCCACCCTGTCAGGGGGTGGTGACCAAAGGGAGGCCCAGACCTTGGACAGCCAGATCCAGGAGACAAGTAAGTGGCCGGGCTGGGCCTGAGGGCCAGCCAGGGGCCCTGCCACTGGCCGCTGATTGAAGCGCCTTTGTTTGTCAACCAGAGTGTGGCCTAAATGTTAACGAAGCAACCTTTTATTTTCCAGGCATCTAATGATGACATTCTGGTCTCGTCTTCCGCCCTGTGTCCCCCTCTTGTCTCCCCTGTTGCCCCCTCCCTACCCTCCTTCCGTGTCACTGCAGATTGAGACCTACAGGCTGACGTTCCGGGCCAACGCCAGGGCCCGCACCGACCACGGGGCTGACATTGTTTCCCGGCCCCCCTACTTCCCTGGAGGCCCCACCTCGGGCACCCGGGCCCCTGGCTCTCTCCCCCAGGCTGCCCACTAGACATGTGACTGCTGGGTGCTGGGCAGCCATCCCACCGCCACGCCTCCTTCTGCTGCCACCTGCTTTGTCCCTGCCCCTACGCTACGCCACTGCTACCCAGGGCGGGTGGGGAGGGGTGGGTGGGAACCGGATCCCAACCTGCGCTGATTGGTGTTTGGGACTGAACCCCAGAGAAACTGAAAGTGCCCTCCCAGAGGAAGAGGCGGCGGATCCGTAAGTGGTGGCCCGCCTGCCCGCCCCACCCTGGAGCCCGCTGAGCACGGCCCCCAACTCCAGCCCCATACCCCATGCCCACCCTGTCTTGCTGTCCTGCCCCACCATAGTTTGGGATCAGTGTCCTCTGACCCTGCTGCTTTCCATACCTGTCCAGCTGCTATCAAAAATCTCCTTTACTTATTTTATCTTTTGTTGGTTTCTAATAATCTAAAACTGGTATAGCTTTGCAGATTGAGACCATGTCTAAGTGAAAGTCTTCAGTAGGTGTTGAGGGAGCAAGGGAGGGAAGATCTGGACGCCTTGGGGGCTGGAGCTGCCAGCCCTGCTGGGGCAGCCTGGGAGTAGGCTGGAGGCAGGAGTGCAAGGAAGGGGAGGGGGTGGAGGCCCATGAGCAGGTGGGGCAGGCTGAGGGGCTGGTCAGCATGGACTGGTTATGTTGGTGTCAATACATATGTGTATGTGTGCGTGCGCGCGCGCACACGCTGCTGCTTTCTTCTAACCAAGAGGCTGATTTGGGCATCTCTGTCTGGTTCCCTGGGATCTGGTGGGAGCTAGGCAGCCAGGGCTCGGGGAGCAGGGCAGGGCCCAGGACAGCAGGGTCCTTCCAGGCCTGCTCCTGTAGGTCTTGGGCACTCAGGCCCTCCCTTGTCCGGGGGGCGCAGGAGGGGCCCAGACGCATATGGAGAGTAGGGGAATCAGGTCTGGAAATGTACAATAAAGGCATGAGATGGGCCAGCCTGCAGAAGGCTGTCTCAGCTGGACCTGGTCTCGGAGGAAGGCTGCAGTGATGGGGAATAGCCTGGGGATTGTATTGAGATGAAGATTCTTATTGCACTTGTATTTTTTTTGTATTGAAGTTTGCATGGTTTCTAATAAAGAATTAAAACCTAACCGTTTGTAGTGAAGTGGCCTGGGAGTGTCCCGGGCCCTCTTTGGGAAGAGCATTTCCTGCAGTGCCGATTGGCACCCTGGGAGCTCCGGAAGGCAGGGAGGGGGTTCTGCTTAGGTTCGGATTGGATCTCTGTGCAGGGAGGACGCCCCTGAGGCTGGCAAGGCCTTCCTTGGGAAGTTTTGACAGTAACTGGCCAGGCACTCACTGCCAAGTTGGAGGTGGCCATGTCTTCTGGGAAAATGCTCGCAGGAACCAGAAAAAGTTGACCTCCCTGAAAAGAATTTGAAAAAAGGCTCAACTGTGCCAAGAACCTGGGGTGGGGTGGGGTTGCTGGGGCAACGACAGCAGCAGGAAGTGACTGGTGGGAGTGGTCAGGAGACAAGCAGGGGCAGCAGAGCAGGTAGTCTAAAGGTCCTAGGTCTGGAGGGTGCCAATTTGACAATTGGTTGGAAATGACCTGGGCATTGTGTTCTCAGGCTGTCTGCTCCTAGCCCCTTGACAGGCCCTGTGAGCCAGAGAACCAGGGAGAGCTGACCGGGCTGGGCAGCGTGCGCCACTCTCCACCCACTGGGGTGGGCTTGGTTCCCAACTTGCTTGTGGCTCAGCCTTTCCCCTCGTCCACCTCTGACCCAGTTGTAAACTAAATAAAGATTAAATAAAGCTGCGTGATGTCCACCAGGTGGCCTGTTCTTCCTTCCTCCGTGTCCTCGTCGGTTGCCCTCCAGCATCCGTGCACACCTAGCCGTGTGCATAGGTCCTGGGATGCACAGTCCCAGCGACCTCCACCCCTCTGTGACCCCACAGGTGTGACCAAGGGGACATACTAGGTGGCTGTACAGCTGCTGGGCCAACTCCTTGAGGGCCATGGTTTCTGTGGCTTGGTTGCCTGTGGAACTCCTCCCGCATCTGATTGGGCTCATGGGTGCATGCCAAGGACCCCCTGCTCCAGGGAGGGGGCTACCGCTGGACCTGTGCTGCCCAGAACTACAAGGGCTTCAAGTTGGTGGTTCCCAAGCCCTCCGCACCTTCATCCTCTCTACTCTGCCTTCACTTTCCCTCACTTTAGGGGGAAGTGTGGCCTGCAGAACGGTGTGCTGAGGCCCTGAGGACCTCAGAGAGAGTGATGCTCACAAGGGATAAATAGAACTTTATTTTAAATAAACATATGCACTCTGTACACAGCCCAGGGAAGCAGGGCTCAGTCATCAGCTGTCTTGCGCACGTCAAAGCTGCCACAGGGTCCGCGCAGCAGTTCTGCCAGCAGGGCGAGTAGCTGCCCGTGTTCCTGCTGCACGTTGAGTGGAAGGGCAGCCAGCTCACTGCGCAGGCTCCGCTCCACCATGCGGCCCAGGGCCCGGCGCAGCTCCCGCAGCAGCCGCACCGTGTGAGAGTCGCCCTCCAGCCTCAGCAAGTCACTGTCGCTCAGGGAGATGGTGGCCCGGCGCCCATCATCTGGGGAAAGGGAGAGATGGTGGGAGCCGAGGTGAGGCTGGGCCTGAGAAGGTGGGCCAGCTGTGGTTGTGTGGGGCCGTCCTCTTCAGGTACCCACCACGGATGTGGACGTCCCCATCTGTCAGTAGCAACACAGCTAGTGGGTGCACCTGGGAGGAGTCCCGGACGAAGACACTGCCGTTGGACTTGACAGCCATGAAATACGTCAGCCACCGGCTCCGTAACCGGGTGGCCTCCCTAGAGAATGCAGAGCCGGTTAAGGTTACCCCTCTGGCCTTTCTCAGCTGCCCCACCCTGCCCTGCCTGACCCCGACCTGTTAATGGTCGACTTGTGTAGCAGGATGTTGCCTGATTTGGTCCTGTATGTGACGCTGTTGGGCTTAAACTTCCCCTGCCGGGTCACCTTGCCCTGCCTCACCTGCCGAGACAGAGAGGATGGATGAGTGAGGCTCAGGTGGGAGGGAGCAAGGCTGCGGCGGGCGGGGCGGCCTCCCCACCCGAGTCAGCACCTGGATGAGGTTGGGGTAGAGCCCGGCCATCAGCACGCCCTTCACCAGCTCCTCCTCCTCGCTGTACTCGTTGCACTGGGCCGAGGCCAGGGTGCAGTCCGAGGGCTTCCCCACCAGGAAGGCCTCGTAAATGTTCTCTGAGAACTGCTTGATCAGGCCTGGGGAGACCAGAGTGCAGGGTGACCCCAGGGCCCTGGGCACAGACTCCATGGGGCAGGGAGGGGTGGGAGGGCCCGCTGACCATGAATGAAGCGCAGGCTGGGTGCATAGAGCAGGTTCTCCTCCAGGTAGTTCTCCCGGGAGCTGCGGTCCTGCCAGCGCAACACCTCCTCCCAGCCAGCCACAGCCCGCACGAAGGCCAGGTGGTCACTGCCACTGTCGTGACTCAGCAGTGCCTTCACCTGGGGGAGGGTGGAGGGTGGGCAGGCAGGGTCACCTCAGGGCAGCCAGCAGGTGGTGCCGGGCAGCATGGGGGAACCAGAGGGCTGGGGCCTGACCTTGTCCACCTCTGCCCGGTTCTGCAGGCTGCTGCTGAAGGGGTCCCGGGTCAGACAGGAAACGACCACCAACAGAGGGTGTAGGCAGCGGAAGATGGCGGCCAGCACGATGGCCTTGGCCAGCCGGGGGTCAGTGGAGATGTGGGCCAGGCGCTGCCCCAGGGTGGTCAGGTATTCTCTCTGGTCCAGTACCCCTGCAACAGCTCAGCCATCAGTCCCTGCCCTTCAGCTGCTCTGCGGCCCAGCCCCACCCCCTACTCACCGATCTCCTGCAACAGGATGACGGCCTCGTCTACTGCCTTGATGTCCGGGCTGTCCACAGCCTTGGAGAGGAACTCCACTGCCTGCAAAGACCACCAGCAACCCCCATGAGTCTGCTCCTGCTCACCCGGCCTGCGCCCACCCGCCCGCCCCGCGCCCCGCCACGCACCGTCTTCTCCGGCATGTGAATCTTGGCCTGCAGCACCAGGTTCTCCAGGGGTGTGCGCAGAATCTCCGGCACTTGGAACGTGGCCATTTTCTCCAGCCGACTACGCGGGAACAGGTGGTAGGCAAAGCCAGACTGGCAGCGGCCCGCCCGGCCCCGGCGCTGAATCACGTTTGCTCGGGACACCCACACGGTCTCCAGGCAGGACACCTGGGGAGGGTGCAGGGCAGCAGCAGCACAGTCACCACAGGCCTGCCCCAGTGCTTCCCCAGCTAACGGGCCCCTCTCCAACAGCAGAGGCCTTTTCAGACACACACACACTCTGCAGGAAGCTGATGATGTGGCCCAGGATGGGCACCCTCCCACCAGAGGTTGGCGGTGCCTGGCTCATCCCCAAGAAGGCGTGGGGCACCTTGGTCTTGAGATCGTAGCGCTCCTCCTTGTGCAGACCACTGTCCACGACGTGCACGATGTCGTTGATGGTGATGGAGGTCTCCGCAATGTTGGTGGCCAGGACGATCTTGCGCACCCCAAGCGGCGGCTGCTGGAAGATGGCCTTCTGGTCCATCATGGGGATGTTGGAGTGCACTGGGGGCAGCGACACACGGGTTAGGAGCCCTGTTCCCGCCAACTCCTTCCCTCCCCAGGAGCATGCTCAGACACACACCCAGTGGAAGGTAAGGTCCCAAGACCGGCGGAATGGTCAGAAAACCAGGCCTGTAAGCTCCAGGCGTGGGCTCACCTGGCAGGATGAGGTATTTGCCCTCGTGCATGCCCAGGGCCTCCTGGAGGCGTTGCTGCACTCCTTTGATCTCCTGCCAGCCGGGCAGGAAGCACAGGATCCCACCTGTAAGGGGCGCTGCAGGCATGAGCCAGCTGCTCCTGGCAAATGGGACCGTGTGGGCAGAGGGCACACAGGAACGGACTCACCTGGCTCCCCTCGGGCGTCAATGTGCAGAACCAGATCCGTCACGAGATCCAAATCCAGGGCACATTCATCCTCAGACTGGGGGGCAGGGAGGAAGGGGCCAGTCAGTCCCAGGGCAGGGAGGCACGGGCCAGTGTCCCCTCCGGCCCACATGTCATCCTTTCCTTCCAAGCACTAAATGTGGCTAAGGCATGGGCAGCGGCAGCCAAGCCCTCACCTCATGGTGCCGGTGGCGGGGCGGGTACTGATGCTTGCCCAGCTTGGCCAGGATGTCCTCCAAGTAGTGCTCCTTGACGGGGTACATGAAGCCGGGCACCTTGATGACCGGACAGCCCCCGAAGTAACGGGAGAAGCGCTCGTTGTCGCCTGTGGCGCTCATGAGCACCAGCCGCAGGGCCGGGTTGAGTCGCTGCAGGCCCTTGAGCAGAATGAGCAGGAAGTCCGTGTTGACGTCCCGCTCGTGCACCTCGTCCACGATCACGTGGCTCACACCCTCCAGACTGGGGTTGCTCTGCAGCTTCCGCAGCAGGATGCCCACGGTGCAGAAGAGCAGGGCCCCTCCACGGGCCGGCGGCTTGCTCTCCAACCGCACCTGGAAGCCCACGTTCCGGCGTAGGGAGGGGCCCAGTTCGTGGCTGACGCGCTGTGCCACGGACACAGCAGAGATGCGACGTGGCTGAGTGATAATGACGTTGCACCGTGCGCCGCGGCCCTCGGTCACATAGCGCTCCAGCAGCAGCTGGGGGATGCGCGTGGTCTTCCCACAGCCCGTGTCCCCCGAGATGACCACCACGGGGTGCTGCTCAATGGCATTGAGGATGGTGTCCCGATGCGGGTCCACGGGGAGCTGGGGGACCTCCTGCCAGACCGGTCCTCGCCGCCGCCACAGCTCAAGCAGGTTGTGGCTCAGACGCAGCTCCTCTGCTTCTAAGAGAGGCATGTAGGGCTTGCCTGTGATGGGGTCGCTCAGGGGCCCCGAGTCCTTGCCCAGCGGCAATATGTCATCGCTCTGCAGTCGGGGTTCTGGGGAGATCCAGGCACTGTCCACAGGGTACTGGGGGTCGGGAGGGAAGCAAACAGTGAGTAGGCCAGGCCGCCTTCCTCCCTCCAGCCCCGTCACAGGCTGCACAGGGCAGGAGTTGGAACCCCACCCACAGGGCAGAGGCCTCAGTTCCCTGACGGTCGGAAGACCCAGTGAGCGAGCCTGGACTACCGGGGCGGGGTGTTCCCTCCTTGGTGAGGAACATGCAAGACCAACTCGCCTGCCTCCAGCCAGGGTTTTCAGGCCAGAGAACAGGGAGGCCAAGGGAGGCCGCTCTTACATGGTTGAGGAAGGTCTCGATCTTGCGGAGGATGGGCTCGGGCACCTGGATGGTGCATGGCCGGCGCTGGGTCTCCCCCAGTTCTCGCAAGGATGCCAGGTTGTACATGGCATGGGTCAGCGGCTCGTTGTTTCTGTCCACCAGGCCCAGGCTCTGCAGAGGGACACTACATTCAGTTGGCTCCAGCTATCCAAAGCCAGCTTGGGCAGGCTCAGGGGCCCGGAGAGAAGTTGTAGAGAACTTTCTTAAGAGCTTTCGGGGTGTGGGTGATGTGACAAAAGGGTAATTTAGGAGCAAGGGATGTCAAGTGTCCACACACGTGACTTTAACAACGGCTGAGAAAGCTAGACCTACTACACTAGACAAGAGCATCCCTGCCCCAGCTCAGGGACCTTTCGAAGTCCCGCCAAGAGCCCAGTCTCCCCGCCACAGATTACCTTCAATAAATTTGAAGACCACACCCCCTCCTCGGCTCGCAACACAGCACCTGTCCCACATGCAGCCCCATTATACGCTAATATACACAAGACCTTTCGTAAAACATCGATTTCTGCGGCAATTACAGGAGCCCTCTGAGGGTAAGCAACACAGCTTCCTTCCCGTGGCAGACAGGGGCACCCCTGCCGGCAACTGTGCTCCCATTATTTCTAAGTCTGGGGGAGTCTGTTCCCCCTCCAAAGCCCAGACCCAACACTCCTTAAAGAAACCTCCCTCCACACCCCTCTGGGAAGCCCCTTCCTCTTGGATTCCTTGCCAAACAGCGGCTTGGGGCTCAGAGACAGGGCTCTGCTCCCTGGGCTACAAAAGGTGCCGCCACAGCCACTCTGCTCCAGAAGGGTTGCCTACCTCTTTCTTTCCACCCCCCCAAGTCTGGCTAGACCCTCCCCCACAGCTCCCAGCCAACCAGCTGCTTCCAGAACTGCTGCCAACTGGAATCTTACTCCCTCTGGAGCAGCCTGGACCAAACTGGGACCTGTGTATAGATATCAAGCTAGAACACAGACCTCCAAGTTCTCCCCAGAGTCCTCACTCTGCCCTCTTGAGCCACAGATGACACGCCTGCTCCTCCTCCATGCTCCCACTCCACCGCCCCCCCGCCGCCCCCCAGTTCTGACCTCACCATCAGCTGTCACTAAGCCGCAGAGCAAAATACCAGAAGTGTCCACCCATCTAGAGGAAAAGCAGGGCCCGCTGCCCATCACTCTGCAGACCACTCGCCTGTCCAACCCACCTAGTGCCCTGGGCCCCACCCGCTGAGAAGCTGCACTGCCCTCACCTGGATGGATGCGCTCACCTTCAACATCTGCTCATGTGAGTCTACAACTCATTTTGGACCCAAAGCCCAGGAGCAAGATCTCCCTGAGGCATCAACACCAGCTCGCTCGTCTGCTCCCAGTTTGGCCCTCTTCCTGGCCAACAGTGGCACTCTGGGGGAGTCCTAGAAAGAGCGGCCACCCCGGCTGACACGCCAGGATTGGGTAGCAGGTAATTCCGTGGCCAGGTGGAAGACCAGGGAGTTGGGCTTTCCCTTCCTAGAGAAATGGCCTGGTCTGCCCAGAACAGAGCAGGACCCTCGAGACTCACCTTGAGTTTCTTGCAGGCCAAGGCTGCCGCCTTATTCTCCGCCTCTGCTTTGCGGCGCCCTTTGGCGACAAAGGTCATGGGACAGGGCCAGAGCAGGGTGAGGGTGGCCAGCTTGGTCTTCGTGCCCACAGTATGGAATTGCATGAGGTTCTACAGGGAATTGGGAGATGGTTACCAAAAAAGCAAGGGAAAAAGAAAAAAGATTTGGCACATTCCCAGAGTGCTAATAACCCCCAAATGGAAGTAAGCCATCGCGGCGGGTGCTAACCACCAGCCACGCAAGTGCTGCTCCTTTACGCCCCTCGCTCCACCCCCGGCTTCTCAGCAGAGGCCAATGTCAAGCAGTGCACCCTAGCCCCCTGTCCTCAGCACCTCGCACAGCCACAAGTGTGGTGGAGGCTACAGCGAGGGCTTCCAGCATGAGCTACAAGTCAGCTATGTCTAGGGCAGCAGCTGGGCGGGGTACTGGTGTGACAGGTCAGAGGGTTTCCCTTCTCAGCAAGAGCAACTCACATCCCAACCTCTTTCACCCCCTAAGGCAGAAGGTGGTCTTCCACTCGCCCAGCCCAGCCTCACTGGCCTCTCCCAGTCCTGCTTGCGTCACCGAGTGGCTCCTGAGCTCCCTCAGGCAGCCACAGAACGGGCACCTTACACCTTCCCACCACGCCTGTCTGAGGAACACCAGGCCTAAGCTGGCCCGCTCCACCCCCCGCAGATGCCTGCAGGGCCCAACGCACCTTAGCCGTGGAGGAGGAGGTTGCAATCTGAATCACCTTGGCCAGGAGGTTCTTGGGAAGGGGAAACTGGGTCAGAGCCCTAATGGCACTGTCATCGTCTGTCATCTCAAAGGAGCCCCCCCTGGGAGGACAAGAAGTAGAGGTGAAGAGACTCCACCTGCGCTTTGGTCAAGTTGGCCTCAGGTTAGGACACTGCATCAGTGTGGGAGGCGGGACAAGGAGGGGACACAGGGCACGTGCCCCTTACTCTGCAGGTCCCTCCCTTAGGTCCCCAGCCCAGGGCAGAGAGCAGGCAGAGAGGTCGCTGGACTTTGTGAGACCCGAGTATGCACTGGAGGGGGTGCCACATGCTGCTTGTAGGAGCCCAGCCACACAGAATAAGACCAGCTGCCACCCCATCCCCAAGAATGAAGGGCACCCCTGTCAGTCATGGGGCTCCCCACCACCGGAGCACGACCCCAGGGAGCACCCCCCCCCCACCGCCCCCTGCCCCCCATGCAGAGGTGTGGCCTGCTTCTTCCCCTGCACTTCAGCTGTACCTCGAGTCCCTGAGTGGGGTGTGGGAGTCCTGCTGGGTCATAGACAGGAAGTCAGTAACATCAATGGTTCCCTCTTCTAGCTCTTCCTCCTCATCCTCCTCCTCTTCCCGGCCCAAGGATCGGGATAGGCCTGTGGGCACCCCAGGCCGGATGCCCTCAGGGTTCAGCTGCCTCCAAGAAGTGGGTGGCATGGCAGGCTCTGGGCGCCACCAACTATCAGCTGGGGAGCCAAAGCGATCGGCTAGCACACGGTATTTGGCGGCATCAAACAACTCATTCCGGGGGCCCAGCAGACCCCAGCCCTGGGGAGAAAAGGGGATCGTGAGGGTCTGCGCAGATCTTGCGCAGGTCCCCGTCTAGTCCCTCGTGTGTGGCAGCCATGTCTGCTCTGCTCAGTGCCTTGTCCAGGGCCAGACAGAGGAGGCAGGAGGACACCCAGCATCGACAGGTGAAAACCCAAAACACAAACTCACTGCCATCGAGCCATCTGTGACTCATAGTGACCCTGTAGGACAGGGTAGAACTGCCCCTGTGGGCTCCCAGGACTGACTCTACAGGAGCAGAAAGCCTCCTCTTCCTCCCTCAATGTACGGTGGTTTCAAACTGCGGACCTTGCAGTCAGCAGCCCAACCGTAACCACTATACCACCAGGCTCCCTGACAGGTGAAACGGCAGGGCAAATACTCAACCCATTGGGCCAAACCACCAGCAAGCCCCTTTGCTGGGCACCGGGGAAGCAGATACATTCACCTAGTGGCCTAGTGGCACCTGAAGCTGGCACCCGCACAGGAGAACACAGTCTACAGCAATGACTGGGGCTAAATGAACTTAAACCATCTACACCAGAGTTTACAAAGCGTGTTAAACGATACACACTCTTACTGAGAGGAAAATGCCAATTAAAACATTTTCGGAGTCATTAGCTTCTACAAAGGGACTCTGCTGGCATAGTGGGTCACAGGTCGGGCAGCTTAACAGCAAGGTCAGCAGTTCAAAACCACCAGGCACTCTAAGGGAGAGAGACAAAGCTTCCTACTCCCACCAAGATTTACAGCCTTGAGAACCCACAAGGGCAGCTCTCCTGTGTCTCTATAGCATCCCTATGCGTCGAATCAACTTGGTGGCAGGGAGCATCTGAGGTTTAACCTGTCCTCCCATGTCCAGCAGAGCCAGGATTCCTGAGTCTTGGCACTGTTGGCACTTGGGCCTGTGCGTTCTAGGACACGTAGCAGCATTTCTGTCCTCTGTCCTCTTATGAGCACACACCACCACTGATTATGGCAACCAGAAGGACTCCGGCCACCGTCAAATGTTGCTTGGTGGGGTGGGGGGTGGGGTGGAGGGAAACACCCAAACTGAGAGCGGGTCAGGTGGAGCTATTCTATTGGAGATGAATTAGTGAGACCTAAGTACAAAGGTAAGGTCAAGTTTCCCAGAGAGCAGGAGGGGGTGAGTGAGGAAAAGAGTGAACCAGGGAGTGTGATCGCGGGGCTCAGGAAAGAGGCTCGAAGTCACAGTGCTGAAGCAACAGTGATGAGGCCCCATTCGTCACTGCACAGCTACCTGGGGTGCTGTGTGCCAGGGTCTGTGAGGGAAACCAGAGCCCGGGGGCAGCCATGTCACTGCAGAGGAGACAACAGGAATCACAAGCAGAGGGAGCAGCCAGCAGCGGAGGCAGGACTGAGAGGAAGGATCAGACCCTGAAGGATTACGAAGGCCTCCAAAAAAGAATGAGAAGAGAAAAATCCAAAACTTGAGTAAAGGGGGCAGGAGAGCGGCAGAGAAAGAGGAAAGGAGAGGAAAGGGCAGAGTGCGGGTCCAGGACGAGAGGGGGCCATGCTCCTGAGAGGCAGGAAGGAAGACAGGAGCAGGGACACCCTAGGCCCAAGACCAGAGAGGAGCTTCAGGAACATATGTGCCGTATCATGTGCATGGCAAGCGGGTCCTTGCCAGGGCAGGCTGAAGGACAGAGGGCTCCAGGCTGGACCCGCCATGGAGCCATCCATTAGGTGAACAGAAAGGCTGGTGAGCAAGGCTGGGACACAGGACAGGAGGGTCAGGAGCTCCCGTGGCAAGCAAGCCATGCCCAACCACTGGGACGTGAAAGCAGCTAGTGCCACACTTCCATTCCCAATAGAGGAGGACAGTGCGGCTATGGGGACCCACCCAAAATAACAAGGAAGGAGCACACTGTTCTATAAAGGGAGTGATCGTCATGATCAAAAGCACAGAATGAAGATAACCAGTGTGAAAGAGAGAGAGAGAGTGTGTGTGTGTGTGTGTGTGTGTGTCGGGGATGGGGGTGGGCGTGGGGGCAGGGGTTTGAATCTCTCACCGGCTGAAGAGTGAGAGAGGAACCACAGGTGGGCAGGGCTCGGGACAGAAGTGGTTGAACTGAGGCGCACCCAGCACCGGTGAGCCTGTCCCAGCAAGAGGCACAACACTCCCCCCAAGAAGGGTGTGTGGCTTCCCTGGGGGAGGGGCACCTTGAAGAGCTGGCAGGCTGCGGCGGCCGCCTGCCGCTCGGCATCGATCTTCTTGCTGCCATAGCCTTCCACCTCCACGCTCTTGGGCCACTTGATGTGCAGGGTGACTTTCTGGGGACGAGAAGAAAAGGCTCAAGACCGCGGCTCTCCAGCCTGCGGCAGGGTCGCGGGTCCAGTGGAGGAGGCGCATGGCTGTGGGCCCTCGCAGGCTGCAAAAGGGTCAGAGCTGAGTGACACGGCCTCGGCCCTGCCCTCCCTCTCCCTGGGAACCCGATTCCCCCACCCCTACCTCCTGTGTTTTTGCCACCTCGGTGCCATGTTCTAGCCAGAGGGCAGGCCGGTGCAGAATGGCTTGCCTGCAGGCCTCTGTGGGTCCCAAGGCCCTCAGGAGTCCAGAAGCAGGAGTCCTCGTGGTCACACCAACCCTCTGCAGGAGAACTCCCTGCCCCTCCTGTCCCAAGTCTCCCTATACTAGGGGCTAGTCTATTATGGATCTTCTTCAAACCTGGCTTTGCTGAGTCTGTTCAATTGTTTTCAATTCAGAAGACCTATTCTACATCCTCCTTGAACAAAACAAAAATAGGAAAAACAGCTGAGAGGGAGGAGCAGCCCACCTCTGCCCTGGGCATCAGACTAATGCTTCCCCTGACCCCTGGTGAAGTTACCTTTTTCTTCGGGCCATTCGTGTGCACGTAGACCAGTTTGTCTTTTGCATGTGAGATGCCGAGAGCTCTTCCTATCACGCTGTTGAGAAGGTTTTTGGGTTGCGGGAATTCTTTTAATAGGTCCCTAGAAGCTAGGGAAAGAAGAAGAAATGCATTTCAGTTCTTCGTTTAAAACCCACTCCACTTGGCCTGGGCTGGACTCTGAGGATGGTGGCTCGGTACCCGGATCACAATGAGCACCCTGGAAAAGGAAACCAGCTGCAGGAGCTACAAGGGGTAGTGGGGCCCAGATCCACTTGCCTGGTCATCTCCTGAAGGGCAATGACCGACATGCCACTGAGGGAACCAGCCAGCATCCTCATCCCCAGCCAAGCTTCTGATTTATTCCATCAACTAAAGAAGCTGGCACGGCCAACAGCCCCTTCTAATCTAATGCCTGATAGGAGGCACTAAGCAACAACAACAAAAACCCACCACCGCACGCACATACAGGAGACAAAGGCAACGCAAGGCCCCTCCTAAAGTGACAGGCACACTCAAAAGGAGGATCAAACCCATGTATACCAACGAGATCTGAAAATTGGGCCGCGGCTCTCAACTGTCCCTTGGCACCCTGCCACGGGCACCCCAGAACCAGATTCTGTGCAGGGACAATGACTGCAGACCTCCACGGAGAGACCTGGGCACGAGCTGCTACTCTGAGTTCTCAGCGTCCAGTGGAGGCAGAGTGCATCACACTCCGTGAGAGGCACCTCATCCCTTTCATTTGGGCTTTGGCTCACTGCCAAGCGTACAAATAGGCAAGGTGTGCACCTGGATGGCAGCTGTCCAGACATGGGCCTAACCAGGCCACAGAGAAGAGAGGCCTGCCGAGAAGAGTTAACCCTTTCAAGACCACATTTTCTGCCGTGAAACTTTTTTGGAAACCGTGTTTTCAGTAACAGAAGACATTTTGAGCAAACTGAAACAAGGACAAAGTTTGCGGTAATACAGATTCTGATACAATTAGTGGGACACCCGTATCCCAAGGGAGGCTGTGTGGGGACATGACGCTCATTTCTTCAGTTTTACTTATAAGCCCCCACCAGATGACAACACAAACTAAAGGTGGGCTAGCAATTCTCGACTTGGCCCCGGAAGTGCTATATGTAGGTGGACACTCCATTGTCTCATGGACCACAAAGGGTTATCATCCGAGGCAAAGGCCGGTATCCTGTCACCAAAGTGACTGTCCAACAGAAGCAGGGGCACGATGACAGGAGGCTTTTCCGTTCTCTACTCCTAGTCCCTGGCATTTCCTTCCCCTTTAAGCCCGCTCCAGAAGGCCACTCTGGGGGGGGGTGCATGCATGTGTGCACCGGCATGCACAGTCAGCCGGGGAGCTTTTGCACGGCCCTGAACACCCTGCGTCCACAAGGTGCCTGCGAATAGCAGCGATTCACGTCGGGGAAGGCTCTGTACTTTGGGAAAGCTCCTCTACAAATCCTCATGTAAGCCTGCTGCCTGCGTGGGAATCCCTTGGAGAGAAGGAGCAAAGCAGAAAGATCTAAAGCCTGTGTTTCCGGGGGGCAAGCGCCTCTGACCGCTGCCGACGTGCAAGGCTAGCCTGCCTGGATCCTGACTCGGGGTGGCTGGATTCCACACCGGGCCCCGACGTTAAGTAGGTCCGCTCGGCCCACAACAGACGGCCGCGCTCCGGCCACACTGCTCGTCCGTGATGGGCAGAGCTGCCAGGCGTTACTGGGGAGGCACATCGCGGGGCGCCATCGGGGTCACTCTTTGTTCCGCACGTTGTGGATGGATGATGGGCGGTCGGTCCACTCTCTGAACCTCGGCCACTCATCCTGCCTGGGCGTTCGTTGCTCTCTTCCTCCGTTCCCTCGAGGTTCGCACCTCTCACCTGTTCCAGTCAGATGCAGGCGTTACCGCGCTTCGAGGGTCCTTCCGGGGCCTGGACCACACTGATGTCCGGAAGAGCGGGACGGCGGTCTCGGTTACTGGCCGGCAGGGAGCCTCCGCCCGCCAGGCCCGCCCGCGCCCCCGATCTGCCATCCCCGCCGCCAAGGGCGTCGCGGCCCGTCCGCCCCCGCTACATCCCTCACCGTTCACCATGCTCCCGTCGCCGGTCCCGGGCCCGCCGGGAGCTGCCCCCGCCTCGTCGGCCTCCTTGGCGTGGTCGGGGCGGGCGCAGCCTGACGAGAGGCCTCGCGAGCGTCCCTGTCGCCCGGAAGCGCGGG